TGAGGCCTGGGTTTGCTCTGAAATAAGCCAGGTTGGGCAGGGAAGTCAGGCCTGGCGGCTCCATCCGGCAGGATTGAAAAGAGGGGAAATCTTAAACAACCTAGTGCTCAGTAATTGGGGATTGGTTAAATAAATTATGGTCCTCCGTGTGAAAACAAATACCGTGCCACCGTTTAGAAGGTAATAAATCATGTTTTACAACTAGGAGAATCTTTGTTTTGTTAATAACATGGCGTAGGAAGACCCTTCCAGGTAATGCACAAGGCCCAGAAGGCACACAAAGACCGACTGAGAAACGTGAGTGCATGAAAGCACAAACCTCTGCATTGCAAAAACCACCACAAGCAACGTCCAAAGGAACTTCACACGGGGTGGGGGGTTCTGCCCTGGCGGATCACTGTTGGAGCCCGGAGGTGGGTGCAGTGTGGATTCATCAGACTGTTCTTATTATTTCGTTGTTTTGTTTTTTTTTAAAATTATTTATTTATTTATTTTCAGAGGAAGGGGGAGGGAGGGAGAAAGAGAGGGAGAGAACAACAATGTGCTAGAGAAACATCAATTGGTTGCTTCTCACACTCCCCCTTCCAGGGACCCAGCCTGCAACCCTGGCATGTGCTCTGACCAGGAATTGAACTCGTGCCTTTTCGGTTCACAGGACAACGTCCAACCCACTGAGCCACACCGGCCAGGGCCTGTTCCTATTACTCCTGAGTATGTTTTCAAATTTCTGTAACAAAGAGTTAAAAATAACAAGTATATACAGGCTTCTCTATGGCCAAAGACAACTGTCGTGCTGGACTATAATACTTGCAACACAGGAAACAAGGAATTAATATTAGTGACGTTCAAAAAGGTCCTAGGAGGCAATTAAAAATAAATAAATAAAAACACAGTTGAAAACTGGACAAAAGAGTAGATTCAAAAACTCACAGAAGAGGAAATTAAAAAAGGCCAATTAACAGATGAACAAGATGTTCAACCTCATATTCAGGAGACGTACTTTTAAAACGACGAAATGTCAGTTCTTGCCCATGACACTGGCGAAGGGCCAGATGGCTGATGCCATCTAGAACTGGGCCCTGGGGAGAGGCTCTGGCCCCTTGAGAAATGCACATGCCCTTCGACCCTGGGACCACACCAGAACTTAAAGGCCCTCGGGTCCACCCACAGAACAATTACATGCCAATTGGAACGAGCTAATTCTGTGCGTAGTCCCTTGGAATGGTGTCCATAGCGTCTTTTCCGTTTAAAAGCAAGTGCCAAAGCAATACACCCCCTTACGATGCCATCTTCACAGGAGGATTCGGTGCCTGGGCACCTGTGTAACGTCCTGAGAGCTGGGAGGCGGCAGGGGACACACGTGCCGAATGGCAAGCCTAAGGGGTCTTGGTGGGGTTGTGATGTAGGGGACGGGGGCGGGGGGGACGGGGGGGCAGGGACAGACTGCCATCCTCATCCTCATGACCTGCGTGTTCCTTGAACTGTTAGCACACACACGTCCAATTTTGGTAGTTGCCACCACCACCTTCAAAACCATTACAGCATTGTTTGAAAAAGAAAAGGAGACACGACAGTCTTGGGGAAGGAGGAGAGGGTGGGGGCTGGGCCGGGCCTGTCCTCTGCTCCAGGTTGCGGGGCAGAGCCCTGGGGGGTGGGCTGGATTTCAGGCTGGGGCAGGGACCAGCTCCAGGCCGCTCCATGGCGACCTTTCCTGGACGTCCCGTTTCCAAGCTGGAGTCCCTTGGTTGGGACAGGGGCGTTCGTTTGCAGACCACCCTTCTCCTTCCCATGAGAGCCTAGTGTGGGGGCAGGGCAGGAGCGGGGTGTGGACACCCAGGCTCCCCCCAGCCTTGAGCATCGTAAGCACTCAGTTTCTTCGCCCCTCATTGCCCTTTCCCTACACTCCTCTCCCCTTGGGGAGCGTGGGTTGGTAGGAGAGAGAACTGAGCACCTACTGGGAATAGGTGATTCAACTCGGAATCCAGCACAGCCCCCACCCCAGGAATGGGAAGGGATATTGAGATTCACTTGCTCTGTCGGTCTGCAAACATGAAAGGAGCACACCCCCCCTGCAGGCACGGGGCAGAACACGCGAGTCTGCCTGCAGGCGGCGCCTGTCCTCCCAGCCGCCCGGGGGAGTCTGCAGTTTTCCCTGAACCCCAGCGCCTAGCACAGGGCTTGTCACGTGGCAGGCGCAGAAATGACCAGCTGTCTGTCTGACGGTGGGGAGGAGGGCTCCTCTGCACGTGGGCAGGGTCCACAAACACAGGGGACTCTTCAGGTTGAGTCCTGAGCACTGAGTGGAATCAGCCTGAGGGACAGGTGGAGGGAGGGTGGCCCAAGCAGAGGGACCAGCATGAACAAAGGCAGGGACAGGTCAGGTGCATGGGGGGATGGGAGCCTGGGGCGGGCGGAGGCTGGGCACGGGAGCCTTGAGTGTCCTGCCAAGGAGCTGAGGCTGTGAATGTTGGGATAAGCACAGCGAAGGGCATCCTTTTAGAGTGAGCCTCCGGGGACACTCAGGACCTGCTTGGGGAGGGGCTGACGGGGGGCAGGGAGGCCAGTTCATTGGGAGGGGGTGGGGGCTCAGCAGAGAAGAAGGACCTCAGCAGCAGGCAGAGGCCTGGGGGCTTCAAGGAGGAGCGGTTCCAGGACATTTGGGAGGCACGGTGACAGGGCACTGCGGGGGCGCGGGGCGCCTGAGCTGCTGCTTGGGCTGGAGAAGATGGCGCTGAAGTCAGCGCCTCTGGGAGCCGAGATTTTTCAGTTATTATTATTTCTCACTGCTGTTGTTTTCAAGACCTCAGTTTGGGTTTCATTATGAAATTGATTAAAAACACATTTTCTTGAAAAAAATGAAAATCAAAAGAACGAAGAGCAACTTTTAGAACAAGCCGACTCGGCCAGGCCGGCCGTGGGACAGGCTAATGGGAGCTGGCTGGACGGGGCCGGGGCCAGACAAGGACAGAGGGGATCTGCCGCCCAGCGGGAGATGCCCAGGGCGGCTGAGGGAGGGTGGGGCCAGCAAGTGCAGGGCCGCAGACCGAGCCCTGCCCCGGGCGCGGCGGGTTCCCACCCAGCCCGCCAACCCTTAGGCCCTCACACTGGGCACTGACCTCTCGCCCTGGGAGCCCCCTGCAGGCAGGGTAGGGTGCTTAGAGCCGGCTCTGCACTGAGGCAGCGGCTTCCCGTCAGGGCCTGGCGTGGACTGGCTGGGCCACCTGCAGCCTTCGCCTTCTTCCTCTGAAAAGTGGGGGCGGTCCTTGGAGAGCTGTCCTGAGACCATAGGAGGTGTCCAGCCTGCAGGGTGGCCTCTGCAGGGACTCCTCCGCGGACAGGTTGCACCCTCTCTGGCCACTCCCTGGGGCTGGAGCCTCCTTCCCAGGAACCCCCAACCCACTGGGGGCTGCCCCACGGCCCCCTCCTCAGCCGCCCCTCCTGCAACCCTTCCCAGGGCCCTGCTGTCCTTAAAAGTGCCCTCGTCCTGGGAACCCCCTCAGGTCCTCCCCCCAGCCCCAAAGCTGCAGGCCTGCACCCTTGCGGCCCCCGCCCCCAGCAGCCTTCCCTGTCTGCCACCCTCTGCGGCTTCCTTCTGCCCACCCAGCCTAGCCCACCCTGCAGCAGCCTGCCAGCCCTGCTCCACAACAAAGCACCAGATAGGGCGGCTTGAGGCAACGGAAAATTATCCTCTTGCCATTTGGAGGCCCAGGGTCTGAGGTCAAGGTGCCCCCAGGGCTGTGGCTCCTCCCGAGGCTCTAGGGGAGGATCCTGCCGGGGTGCTCCCAGGCTCCGGGGGCTCCCAGCGGTCCTCGGCTGGTGGCTGCACCACTCCGAGCGCTCTGCCTGTGGTCACGGGGCCACCTCCTCCTCTGTGTCTCTCCTAAGGACCCGCGGCACTGGATTTCAGGCTTTCCTGAATAATCCAGGAGGATCTCCTCTCTCGATCCTCAAGTACATCAAACACCCCTTTCTAAAATAAGATCTCATTCACAGCCTCTGGGGATTAAGATATGGACGTATCTTTTGGGGGTCCCCCTTACCCCAGGACTCCCAGCAGGGTGTGGCCCCCCAGCCTCTCCCAGGGCAGCCTCCGCCAACAGCCCACAGCCCTGCCTACAGCACCAGAGACTAGACCAGGAGGTGTCCCTCCCTCCTGCCCAGCACCTGGGACACTCTTCAGCCTATCGGCTTCCTCCTCTTGCCCTGGCAGCCTGAGGCCTTCCGTAGAATTTCCTTCTTTGAAACTCTAGTCTGGACTGTCCAACCTTTTGGTGTCTCTGGGCCACACTGGAAGAAGAGGAGCTGTCTTGGACCACACATTGAATACACTGTGACGTGTAATCACACACACACACACACACACACACACACACACACATACACACACAAGTCTCATAGTGTTTTAAGTAAATTTACATGGCGCCGGGCCGCGCTCACAGCCACCCTGGCTGCAGGCGGCCGCCCGCCTAGACCATGGACACAGGCCTCTTCACTCCCACCCCCAGATGACCAGAGCCCCCGGCTGGTCATCTTGTCTTTGGAGCCCTCAGGAGGCTGGGGCCCTAGTGCGCCAGCCCCCAGCCCAGTGGCTCTGAGCTGTTTCGGGAAGAGGCCTTCCTGCCCTGGGAGCAGGCAGGCCTCTTGCTGGTACGCAGGTGGGCCAGAACTTGGGCCCCCAGGGCTGCGGGTCCACAGACGTGGGGCCATGAGCCTGCTGGTTATCGCAGCCGCTCCAGGATTCTGGGAGGCCTGGGGGCTACACCTGGACAGAGGTTTCAGGACCTACACTGGTACTTAGGGTTAGGGCATGGCCAGTGGCCATTAAGGGTCAGGATTTGTAGCCAGGCTGGCACAGTTATCTACCAAGTGCCTCGAGCACTGGGCCTCACAGCGTCACGGAGAAGGCCAAGGGATGGGCTGGCTTGTCCCTGACAAACGAGCCGAGACGTGCTGACCCAGAGGTCTTTTCTTCTCCCACGAACCCGCTCAGGACCCGCAAACTTGCAGCGCCAGCTCTGAGGACATGGGTCCCTCCCAGCCGGGGAGGGCCACGGGGGTCCTGGTGGGGTGGGAGAGGCCAATCAGTGACAGGACAATGGTAACGCCACCACGGCCGGGCACTCTCCCCAATGCTGCCCCTTGGGACACCTGAGACTCCAACCGGGCCAAGGTTGGGGACTGCCAGCTCACTGAAGGGACCATCTGTGAGGACACGTGAGAACTAGACATCACGCGGAGGCCGGGGGGTGGGGGAGTGAGGGGGTGGGGCAGAGCCGCTCAGCAGGGCTGGGCAGGGGCTGGGAGTAGGGTGACCTGACAGGAAAGAGGCATGACCTGGAGTACAGTGGCTCAGGGAGGGGCCTGTCAGGTACGGTTCTCATCCTGCAGTCAACCTGTGCCAGGTGTGGCTCGGTGCCAGGCAGTGTCACGGTGACGCTCATGTGTTTGGCAGTTTGGACCCAGGATTTCCCTCCAATCCTGTGTCATCGCTGGAACTTGAAACAGCCGACGGGTTGGCTGGCACTTCACAGGGTCCAGCTGGTGGGGAAGAGGCAGGCAGCGGCTGAGAACCTTTCGGGGGTGGATTTCAGCAGGAAATGCCCTCACAGTGCCCAGTCCAGCACCTGAGAGGGAGCCACCCCCTTGGCGGACCTCCCAGCCACACATGAAATCCTGGAAAAACTGGATGAGCAGCTGGCAGTTCAAACCCCACCTTGTCACGGTTACGCACGCGCCTTCCTAGCAAGAAAGGGCTCCGTCCCAGGCCATGCACGCTGCCAGGGTTCCCGTGGCCTCCGGCCGGCTGGGGGCCGCTGGGAGGCTTGGAAGGGGGGGGGGTCAAGGGAACGGCACCCAGTGCCCAGACCCGAGAGACCAGAGGGAGGCTTGCTCCACGGCTGCCCAGGCAAAGGCAGAGGCCTTCTGCAGCGGGCAGTGCCCGGGGTTTGTGGCTCGCTCTCAGCCTCCGGCTTCACTGCCAGTCTGTGAGGGTCCAGAGACGGGGCACAAGGAGGCCCCTTGTCCCTCCCACCACAGTGTCCGAGTTGAAGGAGACATGCTAACTCAGCAAGCCACACATTCAACCAACAAAGCCTCATCTGGGCCTCCCCCAGGCGGCACAGAACTCAACTGCCGCTGCCCCCTCTGCTGCCTCAGGAGAGGCAGGGTTCTGGTGGCAGAACCGACAAGGCCCGCCAGTCACGCTGCACCGCCACCCCGGCCTGGTACCTCCACTCTGACTGGGCAGTGCCTGGGCCGTGCTGCTTAGTACTTTGTGACTGTCACCTTCAGGCGCCAACCTGTGCCAGGAAAAGTGTACACAGGTTAGGTCCTCGTTCTCGTCCATGGGGAAGACACCTTCCCCTGCCCTCTTGAAGGCGTGGATGGCACACCTGGGAGGCAGGGGAGCCCCCCGTTCCCAAGAGCTCTCAGGAGGCCAGGCTGATGTCCAAGGTGCAGAACGTCAAGCCTGCTCCTGAGAAGGCCCGAGACCCCGTTTTTTACGGGGAGTGTGGCACTGTCCACAGGACCCCACCTCCCTCAGCCAGGTCTGCTTGGCTGGAGGCCCTCCCCTGGGCCTGCGGGGCCTCGCGGTCTCCCTGTGGACCCCAGGGAAGGAAGCTGCGGGCCGTGTCCCCACACTGCTGGTCTTCCCAGTCCTGAGCCTGCGCCTCCGTCTTCACACTCAGCCTGAGGGAAGCTTCCAGAGATGCTACCACATCCCCTGCAGCTCCATCCGGCAGGGCCTCAGCCGCCACCCGTCACCCCCTGCACACCCACTCCTTCAAGGCCCGCCTGGCTCCCCCTCTGCCAGGACCCCAAGACCATGCACCCACCTTCCCCTGGCCTTCTGTGCCCACATCAGCTCCTCTTCCCCCTGCATAAATCCCGATGTTTAGGGAGCCCTCCACGGTCAACAGCAGTTCTCAGTGAAGCCTCACGCCCACCCCCTGAGGCAGCGTTCCAGGGGCTGCTGTGTCCCAGAGCTGGGCTGTGAGCCACACGCTCACACGACCACCGCTGCCCAGATCCAACCCCTTTGGGTCCCCATCTCGCCGCCTGCCTTGGGGGCCTGGTGGGGGCAGCTGCAAGCCCCGGGGAGGCCATTTCTCCTCAGTCCCTGGCCCCTTGGCCTCTCCACAGGCGCCCCTCCCTTTGCTGCCTAAGACTCTCCTCTTACCTCCTCTGCCCACGCCGCACCCCCGGCCACACAGCCTGCCCGCCCCCAGGTTCCCAGCTGGCTGCTGGACATCTGCCCCACAGCCCAGCTCAGGGCCCTGGGGAGCCCGAGCTGGGAGTTACCCTATGAAGGATGACTGATGACCTCAACCACACGCTCATTCAACAGTTATTTATTGAATGCTGTGTACCACACACACTGCACACAGCAGCTGGGCTACGGCCCTGAGCGACAGACACACCTCTGCCCCTGCTGTCTGTCCCCCGCGAGGATGTGAGGGGTACACACCCTCGCGGGCAACAGACAGCAACCACAACCCAAACATTCAGGATGTCCCTGTCCACAGAAAGGGAGGCAGAGCAAGAACAGGCAGCGCTGGGGGCAGCCCCATTCTGTGCACTGGAAGACACACCCAGTTTTTGGTAATAAAAAAAAAAAAATCCTGGGACTTTCTAATTCTCTCCATTGAACAGTTGTTTCTGCCAGAAACCGGGGTGGCGGGGGCGGAGGGGGTGCGTTTTGGTGGTTTGGAGGAACAGGGTGAGAGTCTGGCCGAACAGTCTCTTGTTATCTTAAGTTTTGAATGACACGGTTTCCTTGTTAAAGCACTCGATCATTGAAATAGGAAAGCGTTTTACACTGTCTTTAGGAAAAGATTGATGGTTCTCACAGACCTGCTTCCTTGAAGGGCTCCTGTCTGCACATCTGCCACCTGCTGCCGGACGCCACAGGCATGGGCTCCAAGGCCAAAGCCTTGACCACGCTAGCAGCTGCCTGGCCAACAGTGGCCACGTGAGACGGGCACCTTCCCCGCAGGTGAGAGGACTGGCGTGGCTGAAGACCACCCCCTGCTGCGTCCCATCTGGAAAGCCAGGAGCAGGAGGCCGCACTGAGAAAAAGCCCCGAGGAAGGCCGGTCCCCGAGACTGGATTTGGCCGGCAGCCTGGTTTCGCTCACAGCCCCCGGTTTCTCGTCGGGTGAAGCCGGGGCCAGAGACGGTTTCACCAGGGGGCAGCTCTTATGTGGCAGAGGCGTGAATAACAGGAACTGAAGGCGAGACAGCCTGACTTCATCCTCAGCGTGACGTGCACAGGGCCACGACCAGCCCCCGAGGAAACGTGGGTCATCGGGGCACTGCGTGCACTGCGTGCGGCCCCCGGCCCCCCGCCCCCCGTTTGTATGCCAAAGCCTAGTCCGCAGGAGGAAGCTGCGTGGAGGGGGGGCCTTAGGGAAGGACCCCGGTTTGGATGGAGTCCCAGGGGTAAGCCCGTGATGGGACTGGTGCCTTTATGGGGGACAGAGCTTCCTGTCTCTGCCAGCAGCTAGGAAACAGGAAGCAGGTTCCCCGTGAGACACTACATCTGCTGGCACCTGAGCCCTGACCGGCCCGTGGAGCAGAGAGAAATGTCTGTTGTTTAAGTCTCCCCGTCTATGGTGCTTTTGTGACAGCAGTTTGAACTAAGACAGGCTGTTTGGAGGATGGCACGGTGGGGTCAGCTGGGGGCGGTGCGGGTGGTCCTTGAATGTGCCATGTGATAAAGCCCCGGACTCTAGGCTCTCGGCCAGACTCAGTCTGAGCTCTCAAAGACGAGAGGAGCAGAGCCTCGTTTCTCTGTCTACGTTCACGGCCTAGAACTCAGCTTGCACTCACTGGGCGCTTAGAAACTCATGACGACAGGATTTTAGATTTTAATGAGTGGCAGTGAGCACTAGAAACCCAGTCTCACATGCCACTTTAGGAAATGCTGTGCGAAACCATCCACGGCCAAGGTCTCCCATGTTCAGGCCTGGCCTGTTTTCCTGACTGACTCTTTCAACAGCAGTATCTACCCCTCTCCAAACATAGGCCAATGAGGACTTCCTCTTCACTCATTAAAAAAAAAGTTTACGGCTTTGTTGATAGCAAGAAAGCTGGCTGCACTTGCACGCACCCCCAAGCAGTTAAAATGAGTGAGGACTGCGGCCTGTCCGCAGGGGTTGAGCTATCCAGACCCAAAGCCAGGCGGAAGCTGCGCACCGCTTCAGGGCGGCAGGAGCGGCGCTGCTGGTGTGCCCACTGCTGGAGCCGGTCAGGCCAGACCACGGTTTGTGGGAGGCACAATGTCTGAGACTATCCCAGGAACCCCAGGACACGTGGCTGCCTGCTGTAACGCACCAAACCACCACCAAATCGAGAGGGCCTGGCTCCGGCTTTGGGTCACTCCGCCCGCTGCAGTACAGCGCGCACAGGGCCCTCCGGCTTTCTGGCCACCTGAGAGAGCCAAGCCTGTTTTTAATCAGACTCTGAGAAGCAACTTAAGCTCTGTGAGTCTTAGTTTCCTTATCTATAAGATAGAAGATGAAATAAAGAGAAGTGAAAAACAAACAAAGGACTTTGGAGTTAGGCAGACAATTCTTGGCCCTGCACGACCTCACTCAGGTAACCCCCCCTCCCTGAGTCTTGCTTGCTTCACCTGGAAAACGGAGATGACAACGTCTGCTGCGAGGACTGCAGAGGTCCCACTCGAGCCACCTGCCAGCAGGTGCAAAAGCAGCACCGGCGTGCTTCCCTTGCTCCTGCTTCACATGCAGCAAACAGGAGAGAAAGGGGTGTGAGTGTGCTGAAACGTCTGTAAAAGAAAATTAAACCCCTCTAAAGGCTTTGACATCAAATACATTCCCCGACATTTCCCTGTTCCGTACAAGATGGCTTCCAACCAGCACGGCCCACCTCTGAGGCTGCCAGGGAGGATGTGAAAGACTGGGGACAAGAGGCTGCCTGAGCCATGGGCACCAGCCAAACAGGGAAGAGCCGTGGGCCCAGACACACGGTCCTGGGGGGTGCCATGCCGCATGGGCTCTGCGAACACACCGGGAGGCCGTGAAAGCAGGCTGGGTCCCCGGCCGGCAGACGCCATGACACTGCAGTGACCCCGTTGCCATGGCAGCGCATCATGGTCCCCGAGACCTGGCCGAGGCTGGGCGGGAGCAGCAGGCGTTACTCTGAGGAGCAGCCCCAGCTCTGAATTAACCATGGGAAGGGCTGATCACATGTAAACATGTACACGTTTCCAAAGCTAGCTCTGCAAGAACGCCGCCTACGGGAAATGAGGCATGCCTGAAGGCAGAGCACCGGGAGGGACCCCTCACACGGTCTGCCGGCGGCCAGCCTCAGCCAGCACACTTCTGGGTCCCTGACCTCCCCCGGCCCCGGCTCCAGAGGCTGGTACAACAGCACTGGGCCTCCCATACAGAGGAGACTCGTCATTCAAAACACAGCAACTGACCCATCTGGTCCTTGTGAGGAGAATGTATTTTAAACCCAGAAAGAGTCGTAATTCTGAGATGTTCCATGTGTTGCCATCTTTATCTTCTACAGACACAGGGCCTCTCCCCTTTGAAGGGGGCGCCTCGGACTGTGCTGGAGAGCGCGCCGGCGGGGGTGCTCTCCCGACGAGCAGGAAGGCGGGAGGCTCCTGGCCGGGACTGCTGCCTGCATGGACACTGCGAGGGCTCAGCCCACAGCAGTGGGGAGGCGTGTCCTGCATGCGGCGGTAAGCAGGAAGTCTGGCTACACGGGGGGGGATTCTGGGGGTGGCGACCCAGCAGGCCACCCTAGTTCTCTTAGGGCCCTGACCTCGTCTGCCCCTCACCGCATCCTGGGTCTGAAGGCTCAAGCCTTTCCCAGCTAAGGCGCCTCCCCAGAAAAAGAAATGCGACAGGACTCGAGACACCTCGTGGTGCGAAGGCAGAAGGCTCTAGCTGTACAAGGTCTTAGTGGGGGTCCTAGGAAGCAGGTGGGCCTCTCCATTCGGCCCCCAATCCCAGGAGTGACGGCATGCGGGCGGGAGAGCGGGGGAGCTGCTTGGGCGCACTGACACCCCCTTGGGGAGCCAGGCCCCCTCACATCTGCAGGCAGAGGCAGGCAGGGCTGCACACGTGAGAATGGGGCACTCGCCGGCAGTGACAGGACTCCCCTCCCCGCTCCAGGACAGCGCAGGTCCGGCCCGAGGCTTCTCCCCTGCGGCTCAGAGTGGGTTCTGTTGTGGGACTGGCTTGGCCTTTTTCCAGGACTCCAGTTCAGCCCAGCTTCAGCCCTCAGACAAACTGGGACAGATTGGGGACTTTGATGTTGAGATCTCCAATGTTGATGTTCCGAGGAATCTCCGGCAGGTTGATGTTTTTCACGGCAGACACGGCCCGGGCAGGGGCTGCTGAGAGGCCGCCCTGTGGAGAGACGGGAGGTAGGCATGAGACAGATCCTTGGTGTCGTCTACTTAATGTGCAGGAAAAACCAGGGAAGGAGGACTGGAAGACATCCAACCTGAGCTCACACAGCACAAGTTTCACCCTTCCCTCCTGTCCCTCAAAGGGAGCCAACCAAACAACCTTCGGGAGAGGAGGGCGGACGAAGGAGGGGAGCTCAGATATAGGGATCCAGACCCTGGGCTCCTGAAGGGGCATGTGGCTGCTGCAGTTTTATAGCCCCAGCACGTCACAGGACCTGGCCCATGGTCAGCGCTCAATAAATGCTTGTGGAAATATTCTAAGGGCGCTCATCAGGTTACAAAACAAAATAAAACCCTTTCCTCAAGGGACTGAGGACTCATAAACAAGTGCAGTCATGGGGCAATTTCTAAAAGGAAAACGAATGTCACGGCTTAGGGGCCTGCTTGCCAACTGACTAAAGATGTGCGGTGGGTGTGGCGTGGAAAAGGACGGGCTCTCAGGATGCCATGTGACAACACAGTGGGAGGAAGGGCCAGCAGGAGGTGGCGTGGCCCACAGGCCCACAGGTCAGGGAGCAAACACTGACAGTCCTGGCGTCTACGGTCAGCATGTACCCCTCAGGCTCTCGCCCGGTGCAGACAAGGGGAGAAGCTGACAGGGACTCTCAAAGCCACTTGCTCCTCATCGCCTACCTTCTGGAGCCCAACTCCGACCCCACCCTCGCCCAGCAAGTCTCCATTCCTTCTGGTTTCCAACCCCCTTGCCTCTGACTCACTTACTATTCCAGGAAGCTTCCCAGCCTGCATTTCTAGAAGAACTATAGTTGCCACAATAGCTGTGGTCTGGAAAAGCTTCTTCAGCAGGATTACCAGTCCTTACAGAAAGAGGAATTCCTGGTTTCACAACATCAAGTTCCGTTACACAAAGCAAGGAATCTTTTTAGGACCCTTGGGAAACCGAAGCGGTCGTTTGGTCTGCGATTTCCGCTGCGTGCGACAGTGGACCCCTGTAACCTCACTCCCTCATAAGGCTGATGCAGGCCATGGAGGGACCACGGAGGCCGGGACAGATTTACTGCGAGCATCTGCACGATGTGCGGGTGGACTGGGGTGTATTATTTTCAGACCGAGGCCAAACTCCACTGCAGCTTTTTATAAGGCTAACTGGAAATAAGGAAACCGGTGACTCTGAGGTCTGAAAGACAGCGCGAGCAATGGCTGCTGAGAGCAGAGTCATCTAGCACACAAACTAGGAAACCACACTGGAATCAGAGGAGGGGACGCCGGCCCCCCTCTCCCCCAGGAATGTCTGGCTTTGAGAGGAAGAATTACAAGCGACAAACACGGGCCATAACCCCCTACTCGCGAAGCTGCTTGCCTTCCCCGCCAGCTGGCTTCCCCATGTACCCTGTTGGCCTCATTTGACCTGGCCCTTAAACCAATAAGCTCTGATGGGCCCAAGGAAGAAGGAAGGCGAGTGTAAGACTTTCCTAAGGCTGCAGCAGCACAAACCAATGCAGGCGCCCACTCCCCTGCCTGCCCAAGTGCTCCCAATCCAGGCAGGGCCCAGGACAGCCGTGCACTCACCTCCGACTTCTCCAGCCTGTTCTGAGCTTCAATCTGAGCCACGATTTCATTCATGTTCGTCTCCAGCACCATCCCCCCCATCACCACTTCCTGTAGGATGTAGTGGACCTGACGGGGGAGCAAAAGAAACAAGGGTTAGCGCCCTCTGCAGCAGCCAGCGTGGCCCCAGCGGAAACTCGCAGGCCCTCCCGCAGCAGGGCAGCCGGGCCCGACCCCGGCTGCTGACCCACAGCAGGCACCGAGGCCCCCGGCTCACCCCGTCAAGGGGGCCGCGGGGGCTTCCCCGGCGCTCCCTCATATCCCAGGGATGTCTGCCACGAGCCGTGGTGGAGGTGCCTGGCTACCCCCAAGGCAGCGAGGTGGTGGCTGAGAACACAGGCTCTGAGGGCAGACCGACCCGGTTCAGTTTCAGCTCTGCTAGGTTCAGTTTCAGCTCTGCTACGATAATGCTCATGAGCTTGGGCACATTAACCCTTCCGATGCTTCGGCTCCCTTCAGGGGTGGTGGCAAAGACTGGGCAAGATGACTGGTGCCTGGCGCACGCTGCATTCTAAACAAATACTGGGAACAGTCACTACAGTATGATCACTCAGTGACAGACGAGTGGAGAAACACAATGCAGTGCATGCACACAATGGACTGCTACTCAGCCTTCAAACGGAGGAGCGTTCCAACACCTGCCACAACTGGGATGAACCCTAAAGACATTGTGCTGAGCGAAACAAGCCGGATGTAAAAGGACAAACTGGGTCTGACTGCCCCTCTAGGAGGCACCTAGCAGTCAAAATCATGGGGGCGGAAAGTAGAACGGTGGTGGCCAAGGGCTGAGGGAATGGGGGCTGCTGCTTAAGGGGTGCACAGCTCCAGTTCTGCAAGGTGAGAGGAGATCTGGAGGTGGGACACACAAAAACATGGGCGTACTTAACACTACTAAACTGCCCACTTAAAAACAAAGACCGTAAACTTTGTTATGTAAATTTTACCCTAATTTTAAAAAGTAGGTCTCTGTATCAATACTCCTAATATTAATCTTTTTGTTTAACAAACCCCTTCTTCATGGGGATGGGACGTCGTCCTTGTTGAGCATCTATTATGTGCTCAGTACCTTATATATAACTTATTTTAATTTTGTAACATTACACCTGAGATATGTAATGTAATCTTCATTTTATAGATGAGGAAACTGATACATGAACTATCTCAACTTCACATATATTAATAACAGAACTGAGCACAGAATCTAGGGCTGCCTGACTGCAGAATCTGGGGCTCCCCCCCCTTCCATGAAATCCTGGTGTGTCCCCCACTCCGCTCATCCCTCACCCCGGTCTGTGAGGAAGCTCTCTGAGACAGGCTTCACCCCCGAGGCCTGGGCAGGCACGCCGAGCGGCCGAAAGGCTTCTCGTGAGCCTGAGCAGCGCGGCCCTCGCCGCAGAGACGGACGGGAGCGGGGCGGCCTTGCCGGGACGCTGTGGCAGGCCGGCTGCAGGACGAGCGGGGGGTCGGAAACACCAGCTAAGGCTGCTGATTTGAACGCTGCATCGTGAAGTCTTAATTTTTAGATGCTGTTCAAAATGTACTCCAAGTGCAAAGTGCAAGAAGGAAAAATACGCGCACCCACGAGCCTCTCTGGAGGAGCTTACAGGGCGCAGCAGGGCGGCCAGGGTGTGACCGGAAAACGGACCGCAGGAAGGCCAGCGGCGGGCGCCGTGTCTACGTACTGGTAGGACCAGGACTAAACGGGACTGGAATGACAAGAGGACGTCAGTGCTGTGCCTCGACACTGAAGAAAAGTAACAGCTGCGGAAGTGAGGAAGACAAGGGGAGAAGAAGCGGGCAGCAGGAAGAAGAACCACACTGGTTCCCCATCCGCAATGACTTTGAGAGCCGATCGCTGTCACTCAAAACCGCCAACTCATGTCATAAAGAAACAGGCATTATGACTTTATTGTGACCTCCCGCCCCCACCGCCCCCGTGCCCAAGCCTGCAAGCATTTGCTAAAAACAATACTTTGAGAACCACCAACTTTTTTTAAGGGCCAACAGGACCTTTTCCACTGACTAGACTTCTGTGCCGTTTTTCTTGCATAAAATCCACCCATCATCCATCCTCTACGCCCTCCAGTCTCCCTGAAGCAGAGGGAGAGCGCAGACTTCAGTGTGGCGGCCAGCTCAGAACCGGTCCTTCCAGGCCTCCTGGAGCCCTCCTCCCCTCCTCCTCTGTTACCTTGCCCAAATCTAACTGAACTTTATTTCCTTTTTTAGGTAACTGGCCTTTCCAAAGCATTCACCTTTGTTTTCCTAGATCAATTCTCTTCTCACACATGGTTTCCTGTATATTTTTAAGTACGTTACGTGATTACAATGCCAGTACAGCCAGCACCACCAGGCCTTCGGGGAGCACAGCTTCCTCTCCCACTGACCATGGACGGGCCTCGCTCTGTGAGGGGAGGCAGAGGGGCTTCAGGAAGCTGGAGGCTGCCAAGCCCAGGTGTGGCGGAGGCAGGTCAGCCCCAACACTGAAACAGCGCCTAACAAACGGAGGGTAATAACCGAACAAAGAATCATTCTGTTTAACAGGCGGCGACAGACGGCAGGATCTTGAGGACGCCAAGGGAGGCGTGGGCTCGCGCTCCACGGGCCCCGAGGCCAACGTGACAGAGGGAGGCAGGGAAGGACGCCTGAAACCTGCTCTGGGAAGGCAGCCCCAAAACCACGCCAACAGATCGCAGAGCGGGACAAGCTCCTCAAGAGCCTCGGGCCAGCCTGACACAGGGCGTTCTTAATGGACACGAATGACCGAGGAGTAATCATCCACGCGTTCTGCTATTTCAGCAACCACCTAAAATAATGACACCAGCAAAATCCAGTCACAAGCGTCTGTTCAGAGAACACAAGCGCTGCTACTTCTGTCAAGTGCACCGGCACTTCGATCCAGGAGTCGTCCCAACCGGGAAGTCTCTCATCTGAACAGAAAGATTACAATGACCCCAATAAACCAACAGTTTATCTTGATGTAAGAAGAAGGCAACAGAGAAAATACTTTGAGTGATGAGTCAGAAATGTCAACAGGGAAAGTGCTAGGTGGAAACTGATGTTTTACAAGACCAAGATACATAAATTTAGGGCCATACTTGAAAGTTGGAGTTTATAATCCTGTCCTGTTAAAAAATTTTCTTTTAAACAGTCAACACATTGCAGTAATTACCAAAATCAAAGTGCCTATTCCTCTGAAGGCAATCTCACCCACGATGAAGCCTCCCTTCTCCCCTCCCCCCACAGCTGGACATCTGCCTTCCTTCACATTTCTCCTCCAGGAAGCTGTCCCATTGCCCTCCCTCCCCCAAAGCTCCTTGCTTCTGTAAGGGGACCAACTGGGCATCCCGTTGGGCCCCACTCCCCTTTCCTGTCCATGGAAGGTAAGTGTTTGAGCACCGCCCCCGCCCCGGAGGCCATGTGAATACCCTGACCAGGAGGGGGACCTGTGAGTTTGTGCCCTGGGCTCCCCCAGGAAGTCTTCCCGTGACCTAGATTACTAACAGATGGACTGGGAGAGCGGGTCTGGCACCCACCTAGGATTTGACAGTGCTTGGCTGCAGCTCCGGGGCTCCTGGTGGGTGTGCCTCTCCTGTTCTGAGGAGCTTGAACCCGAGGCTCTGTGCCAACCGGGCCTGGCCAGCAGTTCCACTGTGGGCATGCACCAAAAGGGCACGGGCACCCTGGGCGGCATAGCAGGGAGCTCCCTGCCTGTCAAACCTGCTGCGACTTCCTGATGGAAAGGAAGTTCTCCAAACTGGAACAAGGGCCCCCAGTGCAGCCGACTCTGCTGCCATCACTAATGCTAACCCTCTCTACCTCCTACCACTCTTCACGGGGATCCTGCGAAGCAGGTCTGTGAAAATCGGGGACATTCTTCCAGGATTTGAGGTGCTGAGTACCCAAGGCTTAGGCCAAGTGAACTCAAGAAAGGCTCAGGACAGGCTGAGACGATAGCCACCTTCCCAGGGACGCTTCTGTGCCCAGTGCGCGTGTCCGCTCGGGCGCGCCCCGCATGGCACTGCCCTCCCGGGTGTGTGTCTGTCCCTTCTCCCCGACCATGCCTTTCTCTGAGGGCAGGTCCCATGCGCGCTCGTCTCAGCCCCAGGTGCCGGGCGCCGGGCTGGGTAACAGCAGCACTTCAACATCGCTGGCTGAGTGGATGGAAGGGCCTGGCTTCCCGTCCCGTCACTGAGCAACGCGCTACTGCCTGGGACAGAGTCCACCTCTGCAGGTAAAGGTGAGTGACAATGAGCTTGCTAGTTTCGTGTCAGCATGGACAGCGTCTAAGAAGGAACAGACAAGCGTCGCCTCAAGGACAGAGGTGCTCCTTACAGACACAGCCCTGGCGCTGCTGGGATGGACGCGAGTCACTTCATCCACAGAATCCCAGGAGCCTCACAACGCCCCTCCTCTATGTTTCTCACAGTCACAAAGCGCCGAGTCCAAGCCCAGGTCAACAGAGACCATCACTGGAAGCAAAATGATTTGGAGCCAGAAGGTAACAGACGTTTCTTTTCCTCTAGTGAAAACAGAGTTCCCCAACCTTAAACTGGCCATGCACTTAAAGTCTGTAAGTACTGAACTCACAATGTATTTTTCTACAGGTATAATAAGCTTCTCATGCTAGCGGCTCACAAAGACTGACTTAGGGCCACGATGCGACTGAGAACGTGGAACCACAGAGCACCCCTGTAGCAACAGCTAAGTACCAGAATAACGGGGTTTCTGCAGGAAAATGCTCTTCATTCCTGGGGCGGCAGGAACTCACCTGGCAGAACTCCACAGGCAGGGAGGGCAGCCACGCACGTTAACACACACCCGAGCCCGAGACCCGCACCTCCTCAGAAACCTCCAGACTCGGTCAATCCCTCTCCAGGCATTTTTCACTGGAAGACGCGCGCCCGCTGTGCCACAAACCCTGCCGATGCACACTCTCCTTGTCTTTCTTAAAGCTGTCGCCGCACAGGAGACAGTAAAGTGGACCAAATCCAAAAGAGCAGGAGCACATGGCTTGTACTGAAACATGAGGACGCCGCATTGCTACACTCTAGTTTTAAAACACAACTGGA